GCCGAAACGCGCGGTCGCCGCCCGGCTGGCGTGTTTGGCGTGCCGGGGGGACGCGGTCTTGCCGCGTTGCCCGGGCCGGTCTCGAAGCCAGCGTCATGCTTGAAGACTCTTCGCGTGCGGTTGGGTCTTGTCTCACTGCCGCTGCTGCAGGGCTCTTTAAAAGATGAGCGTGGACAGCCTGACTTGCTTCCGTGGGGTGAGCTAGGAGCCGCCTACGCTGTTTTTGCGGCGAGCTGGAGTCCGCTTCTCAAGAACTGCGTTCACAGAAGCCGTCGGCCGCACACGTTGGGAGACGCGGCGCGTCCAGGGTTTTTCCCTGTCGCTGATTCTTCGAGGAGGACTTCGTTGCTGGTGGTTTGCTTGTCCTGCTCTCGTTCGGCGTGCCTTCGTGGGCCAGCCCCACAAATAGAGCTCCCGCGTTGCTCCCAGCCCAGGGACTCAAGCGCCGGCAAGAGCCCCGGAAGCGGCTCGCGGCCTAAGAGCGGTGGCGCGTGTGTGCTCGCGTCCGAGGGCGGCGGCCTCGGGGAGCAGAACAGCTGCAAACGGGCGCGGGGCGCGGGGCGCAGCGCGCACACCTTCGGGCCGCGTTGCTGCCCGCGCGGCTCGGCGAGCCCGCCGTGTTGCCTCAGGCCTTGCCTGCCCGCGTCTGACGTCACTTCCACCCGTTCTCCGCGCTCCATCAGACGGCGCGCCCCTCTCCGGACCGGCGGCCGCGCGTCTCCCCGACCTCCAGCCGGCCTCCCTCCCGCCTGCCTTCACAGGTCCTCAGAAACTCCGTGCCAAGCCCGCCCCTGGGTTTCCCACTTGCGCTTCCTCCCTCCCTCTCTCATTGTTTCTTGCTTTCATGCCTAGAGAAGTCGAAACAAAATGAGTGAATGCACAGCAAGTCTCTCCCTCAGCCGCTCCCTGTTCTCAAAGTCGCCCTCACCCCTGCCCGCGCGCCCGCCACAAATAGCCTCTCCGCTCCACGTGTCCAGACTTCCTGAAGCGGCATCCTGTGATTCTCCGGTCCACATAGGTGAAAACGCATTATGTTCGCTTCCGGCAGGAGTCCTGTCAGAATTTATCACACGGGCCTAGAGGTCTGGGGTCACCGGTGGACTGCCGCTGCTCGAGAACCGTGTTCGTGTTGGGTTCAGTTTGGCGTGCCTCCTAGCAGGGGCGCAGAAAGCGTTTTTGAGCTGTCGCCCACTTCTCTCCAAGACAGGCCGGCATCCGCGTCCTTTGCCTGACGTGGGCGTTTGTGCCGTCTCCACGTGTCATTCCACATTTGCTTTCTCAGCCCTGTTTTCCCGACAAGTTTATCTTGCCTTTTATTTTAGCCTTGCCGTCAGTGAATTGTTCCCGCTCTCTCGGCAGCCTCGTGTGCAAGCTGAACACCAGGACCACCATCCTGGCAGCGACTAACCCCAAGGGCCAGTACGACCCCCACGAGTCCGTGTCTGTGAACATTGCCCTCGGCAGCCCGCTCCTGAGTCGGTTTGACCTGGTCCTGGTTTTGCTTGATACCAAGAATGCAGACTGGGACCGTGTCATTTCCTCCTTCATCCTAGAAAACAAAGGTATGTGGAGACAAATAGACCGTTCAAAATGACAGAGACATCAGACGTAGCGAAAGGAAGTTCCCTTTGGAGAAAACACCCGAGGATGCCGTGCAACCGGCAATGGAGAGATGCTTCGAAAGAAAGCAGGAAATGAGAGGAGCCCGTTAGTGGCCGCAGAATGCCGAATCAAAGGAAGAAGGTCTTCCTCTCCCCCTGTGTCAATGAGGTTACAGTGGTTAAGTAAGTCCCTTATGATGAATGGGGCAGCCTTATTCTACAGAATCGCACTCACCTCTTACACACGAAGAAAACAGAACCAAATACAAAACTAATGTCTAAATGTGGGCTTCTCTTTAAGCTAGATTTACTCAAGTACTATGGATTACCATATGGCCAACCAGAATTATCCTCAACAATAATAATCCCTCCTTCCCTGTAGGACACTTACCTTTGTTAAGCTTAGCTCATAAGACTGCTTTTTCTAGAAAGAGCTGTATGCTGCATAGATAACAAGTCCTGATTTTTATAGCCACGAAACCTGAAGACTATCTTTTTAAAAAATGAGTACAAAAACTTTGTAGCAATCCCTTAAAATGAGATGCTTGCTTGTTCTTAGAAGTGACTGGCCTGATTCCTGATACAGGGTACCCAAGCAAGTCAGAGAAGCTCTGGAGCTTGGAGAAGATGAAGACCTATTTCTGCCTCATCAGGAACCTGCAGCCCACACTGTCTGACGAGGGGAACCAGGTTCTTCTCCGGTACTACCAGATGCAGCGTCAGAGCGACTCCCGGAACGCGGCCCGGACGACCATCCGCCTGCTGGAAAGTCTGATACGACTCGCGGAAGGTCTGTATCATCCACAAACGATGCTTTTATTGAATACCTGCTGTGAACGAGGTGTGGGCTTGGCACTGTGGGCTGCAAGATGGATGAGAGGGGCTCCCCATCACTTAAGAAGTAAAGGTTCTAAATACTTACCTGACAGGAGGAGACCATAATCACAAAGGTGGTTTTCCCAGGACGAGGCTTGTCCATTGCACTATGGATGTCCTGACCCCTGCAATTTTCCCAAATGTGGGAAACTCGACTGCATAGTTTGTGGTCGCGCGGGACTGTGTGCGTGTTCTCCCATGAAAAAAAAAAGAGAAGTAAAGGCTCTGTCTGTGCCAGGAGCCCCCCTGCCCCCCCTTCTGAGCACAGATTGTGGGTGTTAAGTGCGTCACCACGTTCCTATGGATGAGAAGTCTTGGTGGCATCTCAAACATCTCCGGACACCATGCACTTGGAAAGCCTTGCTTCTGCTGTTTGATTTCTTGGTGGCAGCGCTGCCAGCGTCTTGAGACGGAGAGTTTCTGTTTGGAATGGATTTCCATCTAGCATCTCTGGTTCTTGCTCAGGAATTGCCAGCTGCAGCCTGCCACCATCACTATGACAACCAGCTTCACAATGCCATGGCCTGTCCCATTCTTCAGGCTCAGGCTTACGTGTACACGTATTGGACGTGCCACTCAGACTTTTCTCTACATTGGCTTTTACATTTTAGCCCTTGTTTAAATAATTTTTAAAAATTCACCTGAACTAATTGTATCCTACGATAAAATAACATAAGTTTAATAAAAAATACTCTAAGACAAATGGACTTCATCTTCTCGAGGATTGATAGCTAATATTTGGGCAATAAATACCCAAAATCCAGGCTTGCTAGTTTAGTAGCTTTGAAAAACTTATCGATCATAGAAATTCCAGAGAAGAAAAATTAGTTTTCACTTTGTATATTTTTATAAGATATTAAAGTGAAGATTAAAAGTTGCTGCACAATAAATGTATGTTTACATAACCCTCTTCTTTGCTGGAGCCCAGAGTACTAGACAAAAGGGCATGAGCAATGCCGAAGGATTAGGTCTACTCTAGAAACAGCCTTGAAGCTAGTTGAACGTCAGCGTTTGTGAGCGCTCCAGTAGAATGAGTTTGTTGTTAGTAGAATAAGTACAGTGGGGGCGGGACAGGCAGAGAATTGCAGTTGTCACCTCAAATATTCCTAAAAACCAAATGTGTTTTCCCTTTTCAGCTCACGCTCGCCTGATGTTTCGTGAAACCGTGACTCTGGAAGATGCGATCACAGTAGTGTCCATCATGGAATCCTCAATGCAAGTGAGGAGGTTTTCTGCACCCAAGATCTAACCCAATTACAAACTTCCTTTTAAAAAAGACACTTTGTTAACATATCAAAAGATAAGAGTGACCAGTGTATAAGCCTAATAATTTCTGCAGCTATATCCAAAGGTAGCTGTTTAAAAGAAGAGGAGAATATCATGGAGACACTTGATGCCTCCACACACTTCTTTTGCACGCTGGTGTCAAGCTGTGGGTCTCTGTCTCTGTCCCTTTTCTCCTCAGCACCCCTGAGGGATATTCGTAGCCCCACCAATGTCAGTGTTGCTTTCTAGTGCAATGATTGCTACCAAGAACTGGGGAGAGAACTGTTGTCAGAGTCTGAAAAAGGCTCCCAGGTGGTTCTGATCTCCAGGAAGGCTTTGGAGGGCTGGCTGTGGCCACCAGGCGTGGTGGTCCCGGTGTACTGGCTGTGTGCGGGCTGGCTGGCTGGTGACTCTCCCTGGTGTTCCCCCCACCCCCAGGGAGGTGCGCTGCTAGGAGGTGTGAATGCGCTTCACACAGCCTTTCCGGAAAACCCTCGGGAGCAGTACCAGAGGCAGTGTGAGCTTATTCTGGAGAAGCTGGAGCTGCAGAGCCTCCTGAGTGAGGAGCTTCAAAGACTTGAAAGGTAAGGAAGGAGAACCAAGGGAAGGTCTGTGTCTGGCCTTCAGCGAGACAGAAGCTGTGTGCCGCCAGTGGGAGTCTGTCTGTACTCACTGTAGGGAATTGTTTCTGTTCTCGTTTGCTGCATCATCAGCCACTCGAAAACTCCGCGGCTTAAAAAAACACATCGTTTTACTGCTCACTTTTCTGGCAGGCTGAGTGGGGTGGCTCGTCTAAGCTCCACACTGTGTTGTCTGAGGGAACAACTCGGAGTGGCTGGGCAACATTTGAAAACGTGCCGTTCTGACTTGTGAAAATGTGGATCATGGGCCGGGCGAGGTGGTTCAAGCCTGTCATCCCAGCACTTTGGAAGGCCGAGTGAGGCGGGAGGATTGCCTGAGCCCACGGGTTCGAGACCAGCCTGGGCAACTTGGTGAGACCTCGTTTCTACAAGAAACCAAAAACTAGCCGTGTGCGGTAGCACGCACCTGTAGTTCCAGCTCCTTGGAAGGCTGCGGCGGAAGGATCGCTAGAGCCCAGCAATTTGATGCTGGGGTGGCTGTGAGTGTGTCACTGCCCTCCAGCCTGGGAAACGCAGTGAGACTCCAACTCGGAAAAAAGTGGGTAACGGACACAGAGACACACAGGGGAAAGTGTGTCACAATGTGAGTCAGAGCGTGAACTCTGTCTAAAGAATTTTTTGCCTGAACTGCATTTGCATATTCCTGAAACACACGGGCTTCCAAAAGCTGGCCTTCCAGTCTGCTCCCGAAAAGCGGGAGTGGGGAATGGCAAGCCCGTCTGTTCGTTGCCTTGCGGACCAGCGCGAGTGGCATCACAGCTGCCGGCGCCTGTCTTGGCGTGAGTGGGGGCCCGGATGTAGGGCCACCGCCGCGAGAGGTGGGCCGCGCGGGTTTGTGACTGCATGAAGCACAACCTCAAGCAGTCTCCTTTCTCCAGGGACCCTTTCTGACTTATGAAGCCTCGGCGCAGCCTTCTTGGGGTCGTGTGGGCGCTAGCTTTAACACGAACGCCCAGGAGCCGGGCTGCAGTCAGCCTGCAGCTAGTGCAAAGTCAGGCCTCTGCCTTTTGGCCTCCTGGCCCTTTTGGTGAGGAGAGCGTGGTGCTGAGATCCCAGTCGCTCCTTCGGGCCATTGATGGTTTGATGTGGCTGGCCCTTTTCAGGACGTTCCTTTGGAGAGCTGCTCACTTTGACCAGCCCAGGCTACCCCAACGTGGCATGCGCTGGATTCAGGAAAGGAGGGAGGGTGAGGCTCAGAATCATTGTTGCATGTTGGAAAAATGGCAGCCAAACCTCGCAAACTCACAGTAACCCTCCTGGAGGGAAAGGAGGAAGAAGGAAAAAAAGAGTATGTGACAATATAAAAGATAGGGTTCTGCCTGGAAGCATTCTTTTCTAGTGGTCTTTATTTTTTTCTTTTTTTTGAGTCGGAGTCTCACTCGGTCGCCCAGGCTGGAGTGCAGCCACCGCAGCCTCGACCCGCTGGCCTCCGGCGATCCTTCCGCCTCCGCCTTCTGAGTAGCCGGAATTACAGGCGTGCGCTACCACGCCCGGCTGATTTTTTTTTTTTTTAATTTATTGTAGAGAGGAGGTCTCGCTGCCCAGGCGGGTCGCGAACCCGCGGGCTTAGGCAATCCACTCGCCTCAGCCTCCCAAAGGCGCAGGATGACAAGCTGAGCCACCGAGCCCGGCTGGTATTTCTTTAGAATATGGAGGCCTGTTCCAGTGTTGATCCTCGAGGCAGCAAAACCAGGTGGTGTGCACATGAAAGTGAGTCACCACCCAAACGCAGTCTGAAGCTGTTCTTACCAACTGAGGAAAACCCACTAGCACATGGCTTCCTACCATTTAGCAAAGAGTTCTGTTTCTTAGGAAATCCCATAACTATAATGAAACCACTTATGTTTTTATCGTACTTGACTTCCAAAAAATACTTTCCACTGGTGCCAGTCTGCCTGCCGTGGTGGCCATTCTGTCCTCACCTCAAAGCGCGGTGAGGCATACTAGTTTTGGGAAGGTGTAGACAAATGGCAGAGAGTCTATGTAGGGGAACATTTTTTAATTTTTTCGAGTTGGAGTCTCAATCTGTCACCCAGGCTGGAGTGCAGTGGCCACTCTCAGCCACCGCAGCCTTGACGTGCTGGGCTCCGGCTATCCTTCCGCCTCAGCCTTACAAGTAGCAGGAACTATAGGCACACGCCACTACGCCCGGCTAATTTTTTGATTTTATTGTAGAGAAGAGGTCTCGCCAAGTTGCCCGGGCAGGTCTCGAACCCACGGGCTCAGGCAATTCACTCACCTCAGCCTCCCAAAGCGCGGGATTACAGGCTGAGCCACCGAGCCTGGCTGTAGGGGAACATTTAATTCCTGAAGCAAGAATTAGACTACAATAATAGAGCTAACCTATTCTACCCTCACCTATGTCTTATCTTTTAGGACACTATTATGGAACTTGAGCAATGATGAGTATCCCTGTCTTCAGTTTGATGCTGAAAAGTATGCAAGATAGTAGTAGTTTTAAAAACTGTTTGCTTTTTTTGTTTGGTTGTAACTCAAATGAGTAACAATGAACATGGGTTTGAGGTATTGATATTTCCAAATCTACTGTCAATATAATCCAAAATTTTTACAATTTGGGGTTTTTTTCCTGATTATAAAGGTAATACATGTTCTTTATTGAGTATCTTGAGAAATAGCAATAATGAATTAATAAGAAAACAAAAATCAGACCAGGTATGGTGGCTCACACGCTTGAGAGGCTGAGACAGGTTGATTGCTTGAGCCCAGGAATTCAAGACCAGCCTGAGCAACATGGCAAGACTTCATCTCTACAACAACAGCAAAATATAAATTAGCTGGGCATGGTGTTGCACACCTGTGGTCCCAGACACTTTGGAGACTAAAGTGAGATGATTGCTTGGGTCCAGAAGCTCGAGAACAGCCTGGGCAACATAGCAAGACCTCTTATCTACAAAAAAAAAAAAAAGTCAGCCAGGCGAACTGGTGCATGCCTTTAGTCCCAGCTATTTGGGAGGCTGAGCTATTGGGAGGCTTGAGGTGAGGGGATTGCTTGGGCCCAGGAGTTTAAGGCTGCAGTGAGCTGTGATCATGCCACTGCACCCCCGCTTGGGTGACAGAGTGAGACACCGACTCAAAAAACCCCATGTAATTTCATCTCCCAGAGAGGTATTCCATTAACACTTGAATACATTTAAATATATTCAAATCGAGTGTATTTCCTTATGTTTTCTAAAATTACACATGAAACTGAGATGAACTTGCTCATCTGCTTTTCGGTGTCGGTCCCTCTCAGCGAAAGTACCTGGAAGGGGGTCGCACTGCACTTTATGCCCAAAGGCATTTCCAGGCTGTCAGGAAGGGCTTTCTAAAGGACCCGCTTCTGGGGAGCTGCAGCCAGGAGGCCGTCCTCCTGGCATTCTTCCCATCCCTGAGATGGCCAGGGTTGAAAATGACTGTCACCGCGCAGACAGCACGCCGGCTCTCGCCGGGTCTGGAGCTGAAGCGCGGAGCTGCCCGGGACACGCTGCCGCGCGGCGG